TGGTGCAATTGGAGGATGTAACTCGCTCGGCTGCCCATTTACCATGGTCGGGCTACCGACACTGTCAGAGGATTTGAACTGAGGTAGCCTGGCCAGCCAATCTTCCAGCTCAGCCCCAAGGTGGCGAGCCTTCTCAATGGCATCGTCATTTCCATATCGACACAACGCAATTATGGCCTGTGATATTGTCTCCAAGACCGTCCCATCGTCATCCAAACCCGGTTCCGCCTCTCCAGTCTTGTCGACTCGCACCTTGCCCTTCTTGACAATGTCTAGATAGGAGTCGAATGCTTTGAACGCTAGATCAAATTCCGCCACGGCAAGATGGACCACAAATAGGCTGCGTAGAATGGCTGTAGAATGGTAAGTCTTCTGTGCGGCATTGTAGAGTACGTCAAGAACACCCCGGGTGAGACTGTTGCGACCCCCTTGCCCAAGGTCCTGTTCGCGCCATCCACGGCCGCTCAGGATAGACCAATTCTTGACAACCAGCTGGACGAAAACCTCGACCTCGGCTCGCTCTTCGTCGGCGCGTGGAAAAGTTGTTTCGGTTAAAAGGAGTGTCTGGTATGCCGCTTCCGCGCTCTTAATCTCGACCCTCAGCTGTCCACGAGCTGACATGTCGTTCGAAATCTTGCCCAGGTGTCCAGTGGGATAAGGGAGGTCTTCCGCCAATATCCGGGAAAGAGCCCAATAGTACTCATACCAAACTCTGCGTCGTGGCACGGATCCTCTAAATCCATAGCCACCAATGGCAGGAGCTGACATGGTCTCCCAATACTTCGCCCAGGAGCGGAAGCAAGCGATCGAGTTGACCTCATCCAACAACGTGTCGCCGTCCCTGATGGACTGACTGGCGAGCATACAATACTCAGTAAGGTATAGCTCGGACCAATAACTCAGTTGTTTCCGGGCTCCTTGGCCAGACCACAGACGAGACAGAGCATTTAGCCCAGACAGGAAAGCCGTCAGAGATGACTTCCTCTGGTCGTCACGGGACAAGCAATTGGCCCTCAGATATGCTGCCTTCAAGGCACACACTGTCGTCCATTCCGATATAGCACCAGCGGGGTCAACGTTGATATCCTCGGGGTCCAGGCTACTTGGTAGTTGGGCGAGTGCAAGACTATAATCGGCCACCACCCAGTGCAACCAACCCGCACACACCTGAGCCTGGAACCTATCCTCGACATGCTGGGTCTCGTTTTCGATGGATTCGAGGAGCTTGGGAAGTATCGTAGCAATATCGAGATTCACAGCGACTGGGTGACCTGAGGACGACCCTGACTGTCGGGCGCTGGTCGAGGCGGCATGTGTTGCATTCGATATCGCGCATTCCGTCTCTGCAGTGATGGCAAGACCTATTTCACATGCCCATTAGGCACCCGCGGAAGGTAGCGGGGAGGTTGAGGAGGGGTTATATATCGTACATGATCGGTCTGGCGCGTGCTTACGGACCTTTCGAACAAGCTCAGGGACCGCACTCCAGCTGCCCTCGCAGCGGGCTATGTCCAGCTGCTGGAGATAATTCACAGCCTTGGCCTACGTCGCAGTTCTGTGAGTATGTGGGTTTCAAGGCGATCGGATCTTGCGCGGTCTGGCGTTGGTGGGTGAACTTACAGACATGTTGCGATTCGAGCTGGTGGACGGTTTTCAAAGTGGCGGGCAACGGCGACTAGAACAAGGCCAAGAGCATGGCTGGCAATGGGGGCTGAACAGAGCAAAAGATGAAACAATGCAAATCAAGCATCCAGACACACGCAGACTGCTGTAAAGAATCGCCAGACCAAGAAACGCAGACCAAGCGAGTGGCGGGGTGGTGCAGAGACTGAACAGCTGGCCAGGAACAAGCGCTTGAAGATGCTCCTGAGAATCAATAATGTCCCTGGCGGCAGGAAGCGACAATGACGGTAAGCCAGAGCTCTCCTTACCCGGGATCCGGCTCCAGCCAATCGCAGCATAGACATAAGCCCCACCTGCTCCAATGGATCAAGCCTGTTTACTATTCTGCAGATATCCACATGCTAATCCTGATTTAGTCGAGAGAGTACTTCCAGAACAGGACCGTTCTCCAGTTAAAAAAAAAAGATATGCCAAAGGAAAAAAGTTGAGATCATGAAGGACTTCATTTTGCTCGAGCACTCATATCAAACTATATACATTGGATGAAATTTGGTGCGAAATTTCCGCTTTAAATTGATTGGACTTCCTATTTAATCATCGGAGATCCTGGAGACACTCGATTGTGTTTATACGGCATAAGTTTATCACGACGAGGCAGCTCATTCGCCCACTGCCATCTCATCCACTTACTCTCAAGAACTGTCTGCCTGGTCATACACGTCGCATGCGAAGGCCTAGGTCTCATACAACATCTTCATAAATGGCGACCGCTCTGTCGCCTGACCTTCAGGTCATCTGCAAAAAGCTAGCCTCCAATTCACCCAACCTGCTGATACAGTCTCTTCCGTCACTGGTCAACCATGTCCTGCGCAGCAAACAGGCCCTCTCGGCCTCACAGGATCCCAAGTCGAGCAGAAAGGGTGGCAGCTCAGAAACCTCGATGCTTGTCCACAAGCTAAAATCACAAATCACCACCCTCATCCAAAGTCACAACAAGGTGGCCAGGTTCGTTGCCATCAGCCTCATCAAGGCTGCCGTCGACGTGGGCGGATGGGAGGTCCTCCAGGGCTCGGAAACTTGGGTCCGGGAGTTACTATCTATCGTTCAGGTATTTTAATACTCGTATTTCGTCCCTAATAAGCCGCCGCTGACACAGAACAGAAGGGAGATCCTCTTGCTTCCAAGGAGCTGGCTGTTGCCGCTCTCACAAAGATCTACGTGCTCATCCACCCCTACCAAACATTGAACAGAGAAATCGCCACAAAGACTATTCCTGCCTTTTCGACTGCCTGTGTTCAACTACTCAAGTCAGCGGCCAGCGAAGACGCATCGCTAGATTCATTGAGCACTGCGGAGGTCATATGCGAGGCCCTGTCAACCCTGATTCCACTCTACCCAGCCACACTTCGGCCTTCCAGCAGCCAAACTCAGACAGCTGTTAGAAAATTCCTGGCACCCACGCTGTCTGATGGCATCTTCATCCCAGAGTCCTTGCAACATGCCAGCAGAAGAGTGGTCATTCTACAGCACTTTGTAGCTGCCAAGACCGGAGGCAGCGAAGAATGGCTGAAGACCGTCACGTTTATCATCAATGAGCTTCACTCCACCGCCGACCAAGTCCTTCGAGCGGTAGATGAGGCATGGACACCTGCAGATGGCAGCTCTCGGGGCGCGGTTGATCTCGAATCCGAACCTCACGGAGGCGGCGCGGCACCAAATCTCACACCCTGGACTGGCATCCAAGCTGGAACGCAGCGGATAATCGGGTTGCTACAATACATTTCAGACTGCCTACGGTCCCCGACAAAGGGTCAGGTTGCTGTGCCTTTAGCTAAAATCATGGATGCAGCTTCTCGACTCTGTCTGATCGCCCGACTATCGCCAAAGACCCAATCATGGGACCAATCTGTCCAAACCAGAGCAGCAATTGGTCGAGATGAAAAGGAAGAACTGTGGAGTGCGGTACCCGACATCCACATTGCGGTCCTCCAGGTGTTCCGCGTATTAATCCAGAGATTCGAGAAGGATACCCTTCCATTGGTCCCCGAAATCCTGGATCACATTATTCGCGTCTTCAACTCTGCGACCGACAACGAGACTGTTCGCACCGCCGCCTACCAAACCCTGAAGGATGCTTTAAGCATCGCTGGGCCAACTCTCTCCAAGCCTACGGTGGAAATGCTCGGCCCCATCATCGGCGCATGCTGCCGAGACCTCCAAGAAGACTCAGGGCATTTGAAGCAGCCCAGCAAACAAGCGAGCAATAGTGGAGAGACCAAAAAGAACGGTATATCGGTCAACGCCGACCTCTTCCTCCAGAAGCCCCAAGACTCTTCGGGGCCCCAATCCGTTTCTCTGAACCCCCGTCACAAGGCGGCCGCGTCGGCCCTCCTAGCATCGCTACTAGCTGAGCTACCCCAACAGCACCTCAAGCCAAGCTTACGAAGTCTCCTGGACCAAACCGCAATCCTCACGAAGGACCGGGACGCCATGCTAGCAAGCGTCCTCAACCCTTACCTGGATCCCAAGGGTCGCAGGTACGCCAGCCTCTTGCCTCACTTGACGCAACAGTATCCCCAGGACCCCGCTCTTGATATCCTTCGCACGAACCTCCGGACGGATGTTGGGGCTCCCGTGGTCGACCAGACAACACTCGATGAGGAGGACGAGGCCGTGGACGATGCGGATGAAGATATGGCCGAGGATGAAAAAGATGCGGACAACGATATGGGCATGGACGTGGACGAAAAGACAACCGAGGGCGACACCAAATCCTCAGGTGTCCCCGCAGGCGCACAAATCAACAGGGAGCTTCCCGTACAAAGCAACCCATTCAGTGTATCAAAGACAGAGAAGACCGCCGTGGCCTCGTCCAACGCCTTTGGAGACATCAGACCCCGGGCTGCCTCCCCTCCAAAGAGAAAACACGAAGGGCCCAGCCCGGCAAATACCAAGAGGCGAGAACTGCAGCAGGATAGAGGGGACGTGTCAAAACCAGCCCCAGCTGCTCCGGCAGAGGCGGCTGACGATGACGATGACGACAGCGACGAGAGCGTGCACCTAAACATGGAGCTTGAGGACGACGATGAGGACGAGGACGAAGACGAGTAAAGTATAGCATCGATGCAGCTGGCTGAGGCATCACATCTCTAGTTTAAAAGTAGTAGTAAGCATATTCAGTCACAAGCCAATTCTGGTCTAGCACGTTAAATATAATCCTATCCAAATGGCCAAAAAGCAAAGCAAATATGAGTCCTGATTATCGCCTTTAAAAAAAAATTAAACGCCATCCAATGAATTCACCCTTTCTATGCTGGTGCCCTGCCGTCCGCCCATCCCGCCAAGGAAAGAAGAGAGAACAGAGAACAGGGTACGGGCTAATCCCGCAGCCAGGCTCTGCGCTTCTCTTCTTTCCTGGCCTTTCTTTTCTCCTTGAACGCCTTGAGCTCCGACTTTGAAGGTTTTTTGTTGGATCGCTCAGCCTTCAAACTGCGTCCATCATGGGCGTTTGCCGCAGCATCGACATCGAAGAAGGCATTCATCTGCCGTCTGGACTTGGCCTCATCAGAATGCCTGTTGGGGCCCGCCTCGTCAGATTGGAATTGTCCAGTGAAGCGGTTGAAGTTGCCAGTTGAGCCATAAGGATCTGCCAAATTGGGGACAGCGGCACCGAGGCTCTCATCCTCGTCCTCTGCCTGGTATCCCTTTGCGTACCACGCATTCGGGTCGTAGTCACCATGGATCGCCGGGTTATAGCCACCTGCTACGGGTGCCTCTGAGGTGGGAGGCCGAGGCTCGCTGGCAGCCTGCGTCGCATTCTGGTCCGGAACGCGTGGGTTATCCCACTGAGTCTTTCCCGTGAAGCGATTATAGAAGAACCAGGCCGACGTGTTCGCGTCCCATTGAAAATCCCATCCATCGTCTTCCGCCTGAGGCACAGGTTCACTAGGTAATGGAGGTCCATCTGGGACGGCTTCGTTCGGCAGGGGAGGTTGGCCCGGAACATCTTCAGCTGGGAGCGGAGGCGCGGGTTCTGAGTCTGCGGTGGCTGCTGCGGGAGTCTCGTCTACAGAGTCCTTGCTGGGCTCGGCGCGGGGCGGTTCTGGCTGTTTGGAGGCACCCGGTGCCTTTCCGCTGTCGCCTAATCCATCATTCTTACTGCGCGACTGCTCCGGCGATGCAGGTTTTCGAGGAGCCGCTGGCGAGCTCGAGGGAGACGACATGGCGCAGAATAATAAACGAATTTATGCCAGGAAGGATAAACCGGAAACACTGATCACCTGCAACTGTGAGTCTCATGCGAAGGTCTGGACATTGTTATGATACTTATGCACCTGTGGTTTTAGCATCAAATACAATGGCTAGCAGAATGCTCAAAGCCGTCAGCGCACCTTGAATAGATGGCTATTGTCCTTTGACTCGACGCATGTCCAGAAGAAAGAGAGCTTCCTTGTGATTACCGGGTCAAAATATGGCTATCTCCCAATCGGGGTTAGACGCTGGAACTCCGAGTGAGGCATTCAAGTCACGTGAACGAGTCCCGCTCCATCTCACATCCCTCAGCTTCTGAACCTCTCGCATGCCACTCAATCTGCAGCTTACGCCTCGAACTCGCTGGCATTTGTCGCCCAGAATAGAAGATGTGTACCACGAGCGGCCCAGATCGCCCGCCCAGACCATGGGAGCAGACGCGTCTGTGAAGCCCGACATGCAATCATGGTGGTTCATAAAGCCGCCTGGTCGCATACGCCGTGACTCGGATGTTTGCTGATCTCTTGTAATACGATACCTGTTCTCAATAGAATACACTGCCCATCGAATATGCTTCTCTGGATAGTCCTCCCAGTGATCGTGAAGCAATGCTCTGCCCAGGTCACCGTTGTCAATAGCTCTGCGTGTGGCTGCTTCTTAACCAATGGATCGACGCCGACGTACTACTCGGACCGGATCTTCTTTGACTTCAGACAGTTGTCGCAGTTTTCCGGTGTTCCTGATCTTCTGAAGGGAACATCCGAGACAACTAAAGCAGTGGCCAGCAGCGACTATTTCTCGAGTACGGAGTGGACCGACGTCTGGTCTCTGCAGCGGTGGTCGAACAAAATCGGGAAAGCTGACGAGCTGAGAGGGGATGCCTCCTACCTGATGCTCAATACGTTGAACAATGTTTACATTGAGAAGAACGATGGAGGCAACTCCCCATCTGACACATTCTTGACCATGCGGACAAGCCGCCAGAAAACCTTCCAGTCCGTAGCTGAGTTTCAGTCTACCGAGGCTAACTACAAGTACCTGTCTATCCGGATGCTCTCTCGAACGATTGGGAGTCCTGGCGCATGCACTGCCATGTTTACCTACAGAGACACGCGCGATGGATCCAATGTCCAAGAAGCAGACATCGAAATGCTCACCAGCGGGCCCAAGGACAGGATTCAATATACAAATCAGCCATCCTACAACGATAACGAGACATTCTCAGAAGCCACGAGGAACGGCACAATGCCCAATGGCAGTCTGTTTTCTGACTGGATCGTGCACCGCCTTGATTGGACTCCTGGCCGAAGCGTCTGGTATGTTGACGGGCAGGAGACTGCCAACATCGAGTTCCAGACACCACACGATGCATCTCGGGTTCATTTCAACACATGGAGCAACGGCGGATCCTGGACTGGGAAAATGCTGGTGGGTGGTGAGGCGTTCATGCAGATTCAATGGATCGAGATGGTCTACAACACGACCACCGAGGGTGTCATGAGTGACAAGGAGCGGAGGTGGGCTCCTGGTGGCGTCCTATCGGAACGAGCAACCACTGGTGATCATTGTCAGGTGGTTTGCAGCATTGACGAAAGTGATACAGCAGGTGAGATTGCCTTGTTGTGGGACAGTGCGGCGGCACATACGTTCGCGCACCGAGGTCATTGGAGATGGGTTACGTTAGCTTTGCCGATTTGGAGTCTTGTCATCGTGTTGCTTGTCATGTAAACGTTCATGTCCAATATGTAGAAAAGTTGCCGCGAGTTATCTGCCAACCTCATCATCACCTCGATGATCGCTGTACTGGCGTAATTGTACTCTAGGGTGGTGCGATGAATCGTCTTGAGTCGACCCCCTACCCTGGAGACAAACGACTCTGGAATCGGGGTGTTGAACGGTCATGAAGCAGGTCAGACTAGGCCGAATTTGCGTTGCATTGCAGCTGTAAAACCTCCGATCCTCGTCTAAGCATTACACGGACCCATGCGTTTCACAAAGATCGATATACAGCGAGCTACATGTGCTTATACCGTATACATTTCAGGCAGGACAGGGAACAACTCTACAGGGCGCGGTCGACAAGGGCCACTTTCCGGGCATCTTTCGGCCCGCGATCGTAGCAAGGCGACAATGCATCAGAACGCCCGAGAGCCGAAACTGGCACTCGGGCAGGTTCCGAAAAACGTGACACCAAAAAAGCCGCGTCCAGGCTTTGACTGTAAGCAATGAATGTTGTGTTCTCTCTGATGGATGACGAGGATAGATCGCAAGCTGGTGTATCCTGCACGATCCCGTTCTGTACTGACACTACTTTACATCGGTGTCGATGGCTTGGTGTAAAAAGAGCGATGCCGCTACCTTGATACCAGGAACCCGTCGGCAGAATCTGTACAATGTTGACGGGATCGATAACTGGAGCCACCATTGGCAAAACGGCCAAAGCGTTGGTGCGACGCTGGAAGGCAAGGAAAGCTTCTAGAACTCGGGCGTAGAGAAGTGGATCGACAGAGCCCTAGTCAGCGCGGACCAGCAACAAGGGTGATGAGAGTGACGCCATGGCTCACAGGTTGTGGCCTGTTGCTGTACGCTGGAAGCCATCGATATTACCCTGCAACCACGCAGAGCAGGCCTTCTCCTTTCTAACTCTCCATTTATACCCCGTTTAGAGTTGAATACCACGTCTCAATGGCATCAGCACCTGGCAATAACGGGGGTGGTACTGGAGAGACAGGATAGTATGATACGGAGTCTTAAGCCCAATCCAGGAGTTAAGACGCAATGACGCTGTCCCTGAGAATGGGCCACAAGGGTACTTTGGTGGATCCGCGGAAGTGCCAATTCAGATTCTCTGTCCATCACCCGACGTGGTTCGTGGTCACTACTGGTGCGAGCGAGTCGGCTGTTTCGGCGTGCGGCTGAAGAGTTTTCACCAGGCGGTCGCGATGATTGGATGGGAGCGTCCCCAGCGTCCGCTCAATAGAGCGGTGCGATATGCTGTGCCTACGAAGCATCAGTGTGAGAGTAGCCCGTATGGTTCGTACCTTTTGCATTTAGGTTGATCTACCCCGGCCGAAGCTGCAAAGTAAGGTAATTGCCATGCACAAACTGTACAAATTGTGGAGGTATTACCTAACATCCGTTCTCATGGAAAAAGAAAAGTAGAGACAATTGAGGATGGCTTGGGGGAGAGCTGCGTGCATGTCAGCGATGTCGCCTTGTTGTGTTCTTTTTTTTTATCCCTCCTTCACTCAAAAAGCCTAATTCACGGCAAGTGCAGAGCCATCGTGGGCCCACGAGGTATTAATTACACGGCGACCTTCATAATATTCTCAGGGCAGTAGCGAGTGGCATGCTGCGTTGATTGAGTGGGGGTAGGCACGGGTGTGTATTGCTCTGGAAGTGATTAGGGTGTGCGCCCAGTGACGCTTGCCCCTATTAGGACAAGTGTGGAAGAGCTCTCTGGGAGTCGAGAAAGGGCGCAGTGCCAAAGCTTCAGGCCGGTGATACGAGTTAATGACTGTGGATAGGCCCAGCATGAACAATTAAAAGGTATTGGCAGCCGGAGTTTCGTGTTGACGACTAGGTTTCTTCCATAGTACACTTGCAAGCCCGAAAGAGACTCGTCCACCCAAGGCAGGCTTCGAGCGAGGGTAGCGGCAGAGGAGACCACCACGCAGCGCGAGAGGGGTGTCTCCAAGATTTTAGGTCAGGTGCTGCGCCGTGACTGGCCCAAGAGAGCCGACCCCTCATTGCAAATTCTTATTACATAAAAGAAGAAGGGCGAGTCCTCATTCACTCAGTCCAACTCTGTTATCTTCCCCAAACAGCCTGCGCCCGCACGAGCACATCAGTCCAAGCAATTTAAAACCTTTGACAAACAGAATTGCAGGCTTATCTCGCACACACGCGCGGGTGCTGTTTCCCTTACGTTTCCCCCCTGCGCCTCTGCATTCCTGATAGGCCCAACAGGCGCGCCCTGGGTAAATTGTGTTGCACCCCGTCATCTTCTGCGCCCGCAACTCATCTTCAACGGGCGCACCAAGACCTCTCTCGACCGTTCAATTCGCAGCACCGACGCCAGTACGTTCCACAGTGACGACGTCACAATACGCCTGGACGCAACACCCTGAATTGATTCAATCGACATTCCCGGAGCCCAGCACCCCGGCCGCCGCCGCCGTCGCCGCCCTGGTTGGTCCCGCTTGCCGGAGGGATGGCCGACAAGATGTCTATCGACAAGACTCAGCACGCTCCGAACGACCACCGTCATCTGCAGCACCAGCAGCTTCACGAGGACAGCGATGATTCCCTTGGTTCCTCCCCAGACGGCGGGCAGGCTACCCCTGCCGCATCGGTGAGCAATGTTGCTGTATCGCTCTCTGCTCCTCAAGATGGCCAACAGCCCAAACGCAAGGGTGGGCGCAAGCCGGTGAGTGCATACTACATCTCTTCCCAGTCCTCTCGACTTGCAAACCCGACGCCTCTGCCCGCAAAGGCTACAATGTGCTTTTTTAACCCGCTGAGACATTATTGATCTACTTGGGTTCAAATAAGACCTCGGGGATTCTGTCAGGGTCCCTGCATCGCCTTCATTGTTTATGCAGATGTCTCTGTTAATACACTCGTGCTGATATTCATCCCCCAGATCTATGCGACGTCCGAAGAGCGCAAACAACGCAACAGACAGGCTCAAGCAGCCTTCCGAGAGCGTCGAACCGAATACATCAAGCAGCTCGAGGAGACTATTCGAGTCCACGAGACGAACTTACACAGTCTCCAGACTGCACACCGTACTGCTGCCGATGAATGTCTTATGCTAAGATACAAGAACTCTCTACTGGAGCGTATCCTTCTCGAGAAGGGTGAGCCTGAGCTTCCTTATCCTCTCCACTCTTGTCTTGGCCGATAACTAATAAATCTTTCTGTTAGGCATCGATGTCCAGGCTGAACTCCGCGCGAAAACTGGTAGCCCCAACCTGGGGCCTACCCATATGCCTCAGAACCTTGTGCAACCACCTCCTATCCAACGGGCGATTATGAACCGCCACCACCAGTCACGCCGGTCGAATGCAAGCATAGCCCCCAAGGCTGAACCTCCAGTGAGCCTGCCAACGCCTCACAGGACAACAGCCTCTCCAAAGAGCCGCCCAACGCCTCCTTCTCACAGTAGTTCACCCAAGAACCATACGGCATCTGGTTTCTCACCTGCTGCATCTGACACAATGTCAATGAGGGGAGGTGTGCACGGCATGTCGCGCCAGCCTATTCACGCGATGCCCCCAACCTCACAACAATCCAGGCACCCTCCTCCGCCACAGGCTCAAGGGGGTCGTCACGGCCCAACCAACTCTGGAGCATCATTTTACCCCACCCCGGCATTCCAAAACCATATTGAGCAACTTGGTATGTTGATATACTGACTCACATTTTGCTGCAACGATTTAACTAATACTGTTTATAGAGCAAGAATATGATGCGCAAGCTGATATGGTTGACGATTCTGAGATGGATACACCGGGCGGACCTGGCCCATACCCTTCAAGCTTCCATCACGAGGCACCGCATGTGCTCTCACCAGCCTCCAACGGGCCAGGGCATCATCACGGGCTGCCTCAGCAGCACCACGAACCCCAGCACCATGGACAGACGTCGCAGGGGCAATATCCTTCCATGACCCAACTTCTGGATCAGAACCTCGATTGGGACCCATTCGGGCTGAGTGCCAGCATGGCGTTTCCCTCTCAGTCATATACCGTTGACCAGGCTAATATGAGGTGAACGCGCTTGATGAATGTCACTACCAACATGAATATCTCTGCATCCAATGAGAGTAGCGACCGGGGTTAACTCTAGCTACCCTTCTTCAACTATGCTAAAAACACAAACACGTGTATCTTCAAACGCCGCGCCTAGTTTCGGCTGAAGTATGACATCGAGGCACTCCCTCGGTGCGTCGAGAGCCTCCGATGGGCGCGAGAAAAGTTTGCTACAGATGCTCATCGTGGTATTGGGCCGCCGAGACATATTCAGGCCATCAGTACCTTGGTGCAGGAGCCAGAGCGCCAGCTCTCCCCCTGGGCCCGCGCTACTATCGGGGCAGCTTGAAAATACAGAGATCTCCCGTCTTCGAAAACAAACACCACACTTGCTTTATACCCCTTATGAAAAAAACTAATACACTATGCCTGCGTCTCTTTCAATTGACGCGAGCAGGGCTTGCTATTGCCCCCGGAAAACATTAAAAATTTGACCTTTATATACTTTCCATGAAGACGACTTGTTATATGGGAAACCTTCTGCAGATCTCATCTGCGATGAGCCATGAATGTGAGCAATGAAACGGAGTCGGTTTGGAGATAGCACGGAGTCTGTTGGGTTGGAAATGGGTCAATGGTTACGAGCGACTTGTCTTTTTATACACAATACATATGGGAGGAAAAGTTTTCTTTTTTGGCCGTAAGCAAGGTTCTCCCAAGATCAGGCGCCATACGTGATTTGTTTCATTACATATGGCCTCTGTCTTTCACGATTAGCGGGCTATACTGTGGAAGGTGTTGAAGGTCTGGGTATATACCGCTAATCGTGAAAGACAGAGACCCTCATAGTATGTAATGAAACAAGTCACGTATTCCTGATCTTGCGGGGCGGATAGGTTGCGCATATCTTTCTCACGGGTAATAACGAAGCGGATATGATCTTGAAATCCCCTCAATTGCAATCAAGACCAGTGAGACTAGGTGAGAATGAAAAAAGCCGATGCTGATGCAGGGTCTCTTGTCATGCTATACTTGTCCACCTATTCATAAGTCTAGTGAAGACTAGTTTCCGGTCCCCGTGCAATAGTATTATGCAGGGTTGTAAGTGCGATGCTGCCCCTGGCGGGATCGATACGGCCTCTGATCATCCGTGCGATGGGCGAGCTTGGACGTTTTAGATGATATCATTGTGGTCTCTCTGCTATGCGATGATCTTTGGCCATGTGGTAGACACAATGCCAAAGCTTGTTGGACATCCCCGGTGACAAGCACAGTGCATTTAGATTCGAGGACCTGCACCTTGACGCAGGCTTTGCACAGTGCATACACTGTAGCGTGACTTGACCGTCTGTCGGGTCTGCGCTTTCCGCTGTGGGTCTCGCGGGAGCTTGGGCCACCCGAAAAGTAAACAAACAACACCCCCGCCAGTCTCAACGCGAAATTGTCCTTCCATTTCTTTTGACATCATACCCAGCATTCCTGGACCTTAACATCCCTTTCCAACTCCATCCCAGCTTAAGATTACTGCCGGGATATTCCAATTTGCCAGGTCAAGCGCATCGCACAAGATGTCGCCGCCACGACGCCGTTCCTCTCGGCTTGCCGCTGCTACTCCTAAGGTACGTTTGCTTTGTCGTGATTTCACCTGACCGCCTCGAGTATTGAACCGACTTTCGTTGTCTGACCGCGATTCATTAGGCCAGTAAAGCGACACCAGAGTTGTCCTCTGTCAGCGAACACCATGAACCCGCTCAGACGCCCCGAAGGTCCTCGAAGCGATCGCAGCAGCTCGAGCAGAGCACGCCTCAGGCTGCCCCAACCACGCCAGCTTCATCCGCGCTGAAGCCTCCACACGATGAGATGCACCCCAGCAAGTGCCAGGCATCAATGGCAGCACCGTCCTCGGCTCTGAGGCTTGGCTTTTCCGACATTAAGGCCTCGAGACATGAACAGCCTGGTGTCCCTGGCTGTGCTCAAGGCACACCTACCAAGATTGGCCGGCCCCCATCATCTGCTTTCACCTTTCGCTTTGTGCGCGGCGCCGCGGATATGAAGCTCAGCGAGAATGCTCAGCGTCTCATGGACGAGCTTCGGGAGCAGGCAAACAAGATCAAGGCGGATCTTGTGTCTCAGAGGGAGGCTGGCGGTGGGATCGAGTTTCCAGCCATTCAGCCTGCCAGTGAGAAGAAGAAGCAGGGTCGCTTTAGTGCCGCCCATGAGGCCGAGTTCAAGAAGATGGACTCGATTGAGAATCACGCGTCTGCCTGGAGAGCCACGCGAACCACACCCGTCAAGCCAAGCTTGAAGCGTTCATCATCCAAGGCTGAACTGGATGCCGCTACTCCTACGTCCGCTAGGTCCAACTTGAAGCGGTCTCAAGCAGCCTCCACCCCAAACACGCGCCCCAAGTCGACTTTGAAGCGCACGGCATCTCGGGCCGATCTGGACGGCGATGACGCCCAATCGAAGAAGAATGATACGGCATCTTCAGCCGCCAAGCCTCGCAGCACACCTCGCAATGAGCCTGTTTCTTCCTTCGCTAAGCGAATCAAGAAGCACGTGGAGGATGACGCATCGGCTGCTCGTCCCGTTTCTCGGGATGATAGCTCTATTCCTCGCCCCAAGTCGAGCGGACAGGGTTCCACCGTGTCGACCCAGTCTCAATCCAGCCTTTCGAGATTAATGAGCCCTACCAAGTCCTCTCGAGCTCACTTCGCTGACCAGGAGAAGCCTACCATTTCAATTGTCAAGTCGCCTTCGTTTTCCAATCTGAAGGGCACACCTCAACCTGCCATGGCTGCTGGCACCGCCTCGCCCTCTCGGTTTGAAAATGTTCGTCGCCGAATCATTAGCCCCGGGCGCTTCCAGAAGGTCAAGTCAATTCTGCGCAAGAAGAGCTCCGAGTATAGCGAAGGCAAGAGTGCTATCCCGGGTCCTGCAATGCAGATTTCTCAAACCCCAGCGGCTCCTCAGATTGAAAAAGACCTTCCCGCAGTCCCACTTACGACACCCCGACGCAAGCTGGCCAAGCAGGTGGCCTTTACACCAGAGACGAAGCGGGCTGCCGAGTGCCAGGACTCTCCATCACCCCAGAAGCCACTTACCTTCCAGGCTCGATTGGCCAAGAAGAAGGCAGAGCTGCAGCAAGATTTCTCATCTATTGATGAGATACTGGTAGACTCGACTGCAAGCGAAACCTCTGACGTGGTGTATCCCGACCTATCCGCATTCAAGACGCTTACAGAGTCCGCCGACGAAAAGAAGGCACCGAAGCTCCCCGAGTCTGTTCCGGGAACGTTCACATTCCGATCCGACCACACTATCAGTTTCGGAGCCGCTTCATCAACCGGGTTCGGTGCGTCTCCTGGCCAGTCTAGCGTCCGCCAGGTCCGAAGCTCTATTGCCCCGAAGGCGACAAGCATGCCTGGCAGCTTTCCAGCTTTGCCTTCCCCTAGCACACATCCCAACAAGGAGAACAGGGCACCGCCCCCATCGAATGTCATTCTTGGAGCTCCCCATGGGATGTCAAACAAGAAGCGCCACAGGGCAACATGGGACGAAGAGGACGCAGAGAAGGAGGCTGCTGAGCGGGCAGCTAAGAAGGCGAAGAATGAGCATGTTCCTGAAGGTCAGGCACTGCTTGCCCCTCGTCTGGTTGGAGCCACCCCAGGCAGCGTTAAGAAGACCCAGGTGGGACGTTCGGTGAACAAAACTCCTGGCTCGGCCACTCCAAGCAAGAAGCGTGCTGGCTTGAGTATGAGCCGCCTTAACATGCTTGCTCGACCTAAACACCGGGCTTAGATGAGCTCGTCCCCTGGGTAGTAGTCATTATGTCGTCTGACGCAGCCATGACTTGATGACAAGCGGTGTTTAGGGCGAACATGGAGTTAGCTTTGCGTTGCATATTTTGTTGGGCGGTTGCTCAGCGTCTGCTCGTGCATATTGAGCCAACTTCAAAAGCTGCCTATGCAGCAGATTGATTCATTTTTCGGAGTTATGTGTAAATTATTGTATGATTTCGGTTTTCTTTGCATTAGTTCAAAAGGTCACAGAACATGGAGTTTTAAGGAAAAGGAAACGGTTTCGCGGATTACAGGTGGTACAAAGATTGGAAGTTTGATCAAATAAGAAAGACTAATTACTTTGCGCTTCCCTATTCCTTCTCCGCGTGATGATGCTTCTCCCTCGTGCTTGCCAAAGTGAAGCCCACAGAGACACATGATTGCATGATTGTCAAGTAACTTACCTAGGTAGTCATGCCATTTTCAAAGTCGTCCCCTCAAGCATCTATTTTCAATGGCTCTGGCTTCACTGTGCTACTTTTATTCAGCTTTGCTTCGTTTGTGCTCTCCCTTTCAGCCCCTCCACTTCTTCGTCGTCCATCGCTGCCGGTCATGACCTCCACCACGTCTGCCAACCTCTTCACATGCACATTCTGCTTCCGCCTGTCTTCCGGCCCGCCGCAGATCCTGGGCCGCTCCGCCCGCCTCGCCTGCAAACCCTGCTGCACGACCCTGCTGGACCTCTCCATCTGCTAGGTGTGCGGGGAGCTCATCTTCCGCGGGGAGGACTGCGTCAGCTTCGGGTGGTGCTTCTGGCACAGGGCGTGCTACGGCTGCCTGCTCTGCGGGAACAGGCTCGTGCACCGCGGGGTGAAGATACCGGCGCTCTTTGCGGGGGAGCCGAAGCAGAAGCAGAAGAATGGGCGGGGGAAGGAGTTGACGGAGGCGCCTATATGTGCGCCTTGCATGGTTGATTCCGAGGTGGATGGGGTGAATGAGGAGGTCTTGGTCAAGAGAGGACTGAGGCGGGTGGAGAGGTATGATGCTGGGGTGACGAGGAAGAGGTGGGAGGAGCGGGAGGGAGAGGCAGGGAGGGATGGTGGTAAGGGGAAAGGAAGAGCCACGAACCTGGAGACGGGGAAGCTCCCACGAGGTTTTGGCATTGATGGGGCCGGTGAAGGCGCTTCGCAGGACTCGACTATATGGGTGAATCTTTTCGACCCGATCAATGGGCCGTCTTTCAAACCGAGTCCGCTGAAACCCATTCCCTGGTTCCAGCCGCGTCCTCTACCTACAAGTACGTGGGATCAGGAACTTGCGCTATCTTCCAAAGCGGAGGTTGAAACTCGAGGCTCTACACACTCTGACAGTACACGATCTGGCACTCCTACGATACGGTTCACTCGTTCACCTGGTCTGGATGGCAGAGATGCAATTCTACTAGCGTCGCGGGAAATCCCACTTACAACAACAGCAAGTGAGACTCCCTTTTGGTCTGTGGATTCAAGTGTCGTGAGCTTCAAACGACAGCCCACAGTTGTAAGGGAAGAGCCACTCCAACGCCCCTCATCACGACTGAAGCCACGGACACGCGGGTCCGAGACGCTTTGTTCTGCGTATTTAACGCCGCCAGAATTCCCAGATTGCCCCAGCACATCAGAGCTCTCGGCCGAGGCGGTGTCTTCCTCGCCCTCGACAGACCTAGCCACAGCTAAGATCATTACACGACTGACCCAATTGCAGCGGGAGTATGGTGCGCACTCGTCAGAATACGTGGAGGAATACCATCCTATAACCTCCACAGATCAGAACAGACATGATTCTCCCCCGCCGCCACTGGAGCTCGCAAGGAGAAATACCGTCCTGGATTCAGCAACGGCGGGTACAGCTACACCACCGAGCAATGCTGCTAGCCCTCCCCCTCCGAGTAGATCGTCGGAGGGCACAAGGTCATCAGAGAGAAGCAGGACTGGATCGAGAGCTCGAAGCACGCGAGAAAATGGGAAATTAAGAAGCGTTGGAGCTGAGCTGAGGAAGTTCTTAACTGGACGATGACGAAGCTTTGGTAAAATGGAGCTGTAGGAGCATCGGAATTGGCATTGACTTTGAACTTTAGTACCCCTAACAGCATGATTAAGATTATACTTTACTTCAGCAGCATTAGATCGAACGAGATTCTTCAAGCAGTTGTCGTCATCTCACTAGAGCCAGACTCGTCCGCCCTTGGTCAAGTTGAGCTATCCCTTTGCATGCTGTGAAGTACGGATCCAGTATAGCACCGACAACATGCTCCGAAATACGGACGAAGCTATGCGGGGGATGCACAAAGACGGCAGAGTGCCGATCCCGGATAATGACCGGGAAAAGACCTACTGCTGAGACCTTGGTTGGTTAATTACGTACTCGAGCAGCTTTGACAGCAAGAATAGCCCTAACCGTGCTCGTTGGTCGACCACAAAAATAAACCCAGCGAATATGACGAAATTAAGCGAGCATCCGGCTGCACGAAAATTTTCCTCTCCCGTGGGCGGCTCACTAGCGGGCGCTGGTTTCGAGACAGGTAATTTCAGGAGGCTGCATTGGTAAGAGAATACTACCCAGGCCGGCAGAGACGTTGCGAGTGCATGTGAATGCCTGCGCCTCGACGGAGAGTGAGGCAGAGGGTGATGCGGGTGGTGGCAGGCAGGGAGTCGAGGCCACACTGTGTGACACACTGTATTCTGGCTATCAGCCATGGTTCTGGTAATTAAACCCTGAACGAGCTTTGCACTGTACCCGTTGCCAAACCTTCCCTGGAGGTTGGACTTGCCGGTTTGGCGAGGCTAATTCAATAGGAGGCGCTTCCCTGGCCAGCTAAATGACACCAAGCGGCGATGATGGCGCATGTGCAGCTGTTCAACACGAAGCAGTCATGGTGACGCCCTCCCCCATGCAAAGGGCAAGGTGCCACGGTGCGGACACAGTGCCGCATGCAAGATCCGGCCCTGCTGCTGGGGGTCAACCCCTCTATAACGCTGGAAATCAGGCATCCGATGTGCAAAACAGGCCCCATAGCCCAGTGCACGCAGGTGCTCTGAGCCCTTGGTGCCGCAGGGCATTCCGGCACTGGCTCCAGCGCCGTCTGCCACCATCCCCACTCCCCCAGCCTGCTGCCCCCCCAGTTAGGTGCGACTCTTTACCCTCGAAACTGCATCACAGCTTTCTGCTTCCCCCGGCGGTCCAAACCCTCTTTCCCTCATCCACGGGTCATGCGACGTTGACGCTACGTCTTTTCTTCCTCTCCACCTCCCGAAGCTGCTGCAAGCGCTCTTCTTCACTGTCGCCAATTCATCCTTTTCGCCTTGAAAGAAGGCGATAAGCCAGGCGGCCAAGATGTCGGTCGCCTCTAAGGTGCGTTTGTTCTTGCTCTAGTATTTTTTTTTTGTGTGTGCCCTCCATATCATCGCCTCAGCACCTTTTTGTGGCCCGTTGCCTCGAGGTGCCGTGCCACGAATCCGACCATTCAATTGCGACAGGCACGGGCATTGCGAATTTGCTGCTTTTCTTCTTGCCTCATGAAATAATTCATCTCCCATCGGGGTATTTTACAAATTATGGAGGGGAACCCTGGCTGACTTGTGCTCGCAGAACCTGTTCGCCTACCTCGGTACGATGCTCTTCTCATGATCCTTCCGCCCTCCCCCCTTGCGAACGGTTACCTCTGATGGCCACCTTGAGCGATGAACATCGAGGGTTTGATTCGCACCCTCGTTGTTTGTCGTGTCACCGGAGGACCGTTATATGATGGGTAGATGCGGGGGGAGGGGGGCCGTGGATGGATATGACAGTGTATACTTGGGCAACAACGCTAACAAACATACCTCTGGGCGTTTAGGCAACGACGACGATGGCGAGGAGAAGATCCCCGTCCCCGTGAAGACCGTCGATAAGCAGAACCCTCGCACTGCTAAGCGCAACGTTGAGCCCCAGCCTCCCACTCGCGGTCCTGGTGGCAACCGCCGTGGAGGTCCTGGCGGTAGCGAAGGTGGTGAGTTGATATATATCCCTCTTACCCCTCCTGGGGGCAGCCTAGCCTTGGCCTTGCTCCCAGATCCAATTGAACCTCTGGCTAACCTGTCTCTCTCGGGGTTTCAGCCTTCCGTGACCGTGATGCTGGCTCTGGTCGCAACCACGGCCGCTCTACAGAGGAGCAGTCTGGTCCCCGAGGACCCCGAGGCGGTGCCGGTGCCCGTGTCCGTGGTGGTAAGTTCCCATGTTGCTATCAAAGTACATTTGATGTGCGCCCGCACATCATCCGTTGTTGGCACAAGCCCCCTTGGAGCCTAAATGTCTAACATGACTGTTTCATAGGCCGTGGCTCCCGTCGCCCCCGTGACAGTGATGACCGTCACACCAAGTCCGCTACCCAGGGGTAATTATTCTTTCCCTTCCAGATATTGACCTTGTTTCTTCGAGCTGACTGTGTATTATAGTGGCTCCGATAAGCAGGCCGCCGCCTCTTGGGGCGCTGCTGAGGGTGATGCCGAGCTGAAGGACGAGCAAGCCGGTGATGCCATCGCTAAGAGCGAGCAGAAGGATGCCGCTGCTGAGGACGCTGCCGAAGAGCCCGCCGAGCCTGAGGACAAGTCCGTCTCCTACTCCGAGTACCTCGCCCAACAAGCCGAGAAGAAGCTCAGCCTCGAGGACTCCCTTAACATTCGTGAAGCCAACGAGGGTAGCAAGCTCGACAAGAAGTGGCAGAACGCCAAGCCTCTCGAGAACCACGAGGAGGAGTACCACGCTGGTGGCCACGGTAAGAAGCAGCGTGAGCGTGAGCGCAAGGTCAAGCAGACCATTGACTTCGACCCCCGCTTTGTCGAGCCCGAGCGCACTGGTCGTGGTGGCGCCCGTGGTGGCCGTGGTGGTGGCCGTGGCCGTGGCGACCGTGGCGACCGTGGCGAGGGACGTGGTGGACGTGGAGGCAACTTCCGTGGCGGCCGTGGCGGCCGTGATGCTCCTGCTGCCTCCATCAACACTAAGGATGAGTCTGCCTTCCCCAGCCTCGGCAAATAAATGCCGCCCGGCATACCTCACACGTCGGATGTGAGTGCAACCCCTTTACGATCTCACCGTCATCTGGGTGCGTCTAGGAATAGGATAGGGGGTTTGCCCAGGACATCTAAACCATAAATTCCCTCTGGTTTAAGATTGTTCGATGAATGTCAAAAAAAGAATTTACTGTTTGGAACTCGCAAAGATTGAAGAAAAGTGAAAAAAAGGGACCAAAAATATAACTGAACGCAACGAAATACGCTGACCGTAGGGTTTATCTTTGCTGGTTCATTGGGCTGTGCTTGGGCGGTTATCTGGGAAGGGGGAGCCTTTGGAACAATTTCATTATATCTGATTTCCCTTATTACTCCACTTGCTGATGCTCGCTCCCCTTGCTTGCCCAGGTCTTCTATAGGTATATGAAAAGAACTTTTTTCTATTTTACCTCCTTTTTTCCCTGCCTCCCGTGTGGAGGTGTCATATAATTATGTGTAAGTGACTCGTTCCGTCGTGGTACATACTGTTGTAGTGTGTTTGGATCTCGAGGTCTAGGGATGCTGTTACTTCCGAGTCGTCTTCGTGTGTGGGCATCATGGACGTTGGCTTTTGTGTTTAGAAGCTTGACCTGGGTGATCCATCGTTCCTCGCGGTCTGAGCTTTGCGGCCTCAGAGTATATATACATGTGCCTGGTTACACCACAGTGGAACTTACACATGTCCATGTGAATGCCGATGGGAATGCAAATGGCCTTTTCATATTTTCAAGGGGCTCTGGTCTCCCCTTTTATTGACCTTTCGGACATACGTATATCTGAATCTTATCTTACTTATTTTCAGTTTTTACTTCTTTCTTTCTACTTTCTACGTCTTGAGGATGCTCGTCAGCTGGTGGACGATCTCGTCGCTGACCTCGACTGTCTTGGCTTCTTCGGTCTTTCATCAAGCGGTGTGAAAGCAACAAGTGACGTCGAGGAAACAGACTTCCAGTGGATAGGTTCGTAGATTACCGTTACGCTTACCCTTTCCGCTGGGGATGACGCTGGCATCGTCGCTGATGATGTTTCCCGAACAGGGTGCTTGTGACGACAACAGTGTTGAGGCTAGTGGCACGTACGTTTTTACCTTGTCGAGTAACCAGACTTGCGTCTCGCCGAGGTAAGATGCCGCCGGCGAGCTCGCGGACGATGACAAAGTCGGTGCCCCGGCAGACACTGGCCTCGAGAGGGGAGTAGTCGACGAGGTGGATGGGAGGGAGCATAGACTTACACCTCTCATCAGGTGCTCCCAGAGATTGAACTTGCCAGCGCCAGGCTTGTTGGACCTCAATTGCCTTGAGAATCTGCATCGGCCGTCAGGAGACTTGAGAGAAGTCCCTAGAACCAATGACACATAGCTTGATACCCTCGGCAACGACGTGGGAGCTGGGAGCCGAAGCGAATTGCATTGATGTGAGGGAGCGGAGTGCTGCCCACCGCATGAGCCATGGTGATCTCCTGCGAGTAGGTACGATAATGTTGTGTCCGCCATCTTGTCTCGCTACAATTGGGAACCTACCTATGTGCTGAATTACTCGACACATTTCACTGGAAAGTACACAGAATTTCCAAACCAAACAAGCTGGCTTGAAGAGGTAGCTGGCGAGGGAGTGGGAAGAGTGTGTAATCGGCGGCGGTGTATCGCTTCTCTGCCCCGCACAGCATCATCTTCCAACATGGCTATAGCACCCCTCACCGACATCGGCTCAACGGCAGCACAGCATCCTCTCTAATACTTGTCACCTTTGAATCGTATTCTCTTACTAGATATATCTAAATAATAATCCCTTGGCTACCTACTGATACATTTATCAACACAAGTCTGCTCGTGCTTGAAGAGTGACCGACGCAAAGGCGAGAGGCGGTAAAGGAGGAGAGGGGGCCCTCTTGGGGAGAAAAGAAGGGAACTTCAGGCCGTTTCCTCGAGCTTCGATGGCATGCAGCAGCGTCAGGGGTCAGGCTTAGTTTAGCCCCTTGTTTGCCCCCCTCATCCTCTCAAGCCTCTGTTTCCAAGACGAGGAATGACATGGCGCTGGGCACACATGCGTACACACACCATGGAAATTTTTCACTGGCATGTGCCTCCTCATTGCCTATCTGAGAGATACCTACAGATATCTCCTGCATGGCCAGCTTCGACTGTGGGGAAACAGGGCCGTTCAGGCACCCAGGAAGCCTCTTGACTGGCAACACATCACCCAGGTGCTGCATTGATACCCGGTTCACACCAAGCCAGCGAATAATCGTAAGACCCATGATAGCACACCAAAAAATCAGTGGCCATTGAGCCTCCGTTACAAACATATAAGTTTTGGACCCCCAGCGGGCAAGTTATTACTACCTAGGGTATTTGTCATATGCGTTTGCGTAGCTTTTCTTCCATATATCGTCATCATAGCAGGCAGGGAGCCCGTCTACTCTATACCACGACCTTGAAACCGAAACAGAGGCAACACCAAACAATCGCTACCCAGACATGCCAGAATGCAACAAAGGGACAAAGGGACAAATGGACTACACAGTTCCAACCATTACAAGCTCATCTCAACATCTTGAACGACTTGTTCGCCAAGGGTGACGTCGCTCCTCCGATCCCCACATTCCCACTGCTTCTCATCCGCCCGCCCCGGACGTGTGGTGTTTGAACACAAAACACACAGATGTAAACCCTCGGTAATGTTCGCTGGGTGATTTTGATACAATGACCATGAAGCCACATCTCGCAGGAATCGCTTTTCGTCAAATGTTAGAGTTGGTTCCAAGCTTTGTTGGGGGGTCAGCACCTACCACCGGACCATATAGCCGTCATTTTCGTCAGTGCCGTTCCGGTGACACACACATCGAATCTCCATTATGTCATTCAGACTGGCCGGCGACCGGCTGTTGCTACGCCTACTGATGTGGTTTGCTGATAATCGGTTGGCTCCAGCGCCTACCAGATGTCCCGAACGGTTCCTCCGGTTCTCGACCAACTTGAGCAGCTCACTCGCAGCATCTCCCTCCTGATCATGGGGGTCGTTCATCAGTGTCTCGGCCTCACTTTCGGCATCATGGGCGATTAGGATATTCGGTGTATCAGGAGCGTTGACCGTACTCGTGCTCCTATCGCTAATGCTACGTCTGGACGAATGGAATATGGAGCCTACAGGCTTCAAGGGATCTGGAAGGGCAAACGAGGTGTTAAAGGAGGTAGTGCGGCTAGGAATAATGATTGGTTCATCGTCGGAAGATGAGTCGTCGCCCGAGCCGTTCCAAGACTGCGAGCCATCCGACGAACGGCTCCTGATGGAATTCGCCCTGTTTTCATATATCGAATGCGCCGCCTCAGCCCGAGCACGTCCGTTGGAATCGATGGTGAACCGAATCGAAGCACTTGATATGCCCCGAGATGCAGACTCCGGAATAGAAGTCAGCCCCGAGAGTCGATGCCGTTTCAGTGGAGAAACCCTGCCCGAAGCTCTAGTACTGGGCCTCCCCGTTTCGATACCCGAGCCCGATCTTGTCTGTGAAGGAGGCCTGGCAACCGCAGTTTGATTCACGACCGGCCCTCGTCCAATTGTCCTCCGTCCACGATTCTCGCTTTGACTTCTACCTATGCTAGGGCGAGTAGGCACAGGCTTGACAGGTGACCTTGTCAATCGCCTGTCCGGCACTTTGCCTTCGGTCATACTTTTGAAGCTCGCAGTTCGACGAATACCATCGGCGGAAGGGACCCTAGCAGGGACTGAAGGAACCGTGTTTCCCTGAAGTCCAAGATTGGAGGATGGATGGAAATCGGCGTCATCTAGTGATGTCTGAGGACGACTGAGCAGCATTCCCGGATCAACTGCCCCTGTATGGTTTAGAATTCCAAAAGGGTTTTCCGGAGCTGCTTCGAAAGAGGTGATTGCTGGATGGGTAATTGTCGTGGTAGGCAACTGTTCAGGAGCCAGGGGTTTGGGAGCCAAGGCTCTTTCACGTCGGGGAGGCTGACGGATCGTCTCTTGGCTTGACGTCGGAGCTGCTTCTATGGGGGTCTGGAAGAGAGGGGCTTCATTATTCCAATCGAATGATCCGGACGGACGGTGGTATGAGGTTCCAGGTTGGGGGAAGAGATTCTGAGCGGCGGCGCTAAAGTCCATGTCCATTTGGAGGTTCAACGTTGACGGATCCCAGAAGTTTTCTGGTGCTGTGACTGGAGCTGACATTGGGTAGCCAAAAAAGTCGCCCGTATGGCCCAGGAAGGCTTGCATCTCTGCCACTTGTGAAGGATCCATCAGGTCCGGCTGCCCATAGCTCTGATCATCTTGCATCTTGAGCTTGGGGGCAAGCTTACGCCTGCCCTTGTGTGTGGTAGGCGGGGGCGTGACAGTTTGAGGCGGATTTTCCCTCTTTGTTGCTTCTCGCTTGGCTGGCGTTTTATTCGCTTGATTCGGGGGCCGCGGATTCGATTGGGAAAAAGGCTTCAGTGCTTGCTCGTTGCGGAGATCGGCCAAGTTGACAGTGGGCAATTCCGAATTTATAGACTCGGCATACGGCAATTGTAAGTTAGTGTCGGGAGAAAGAAGTCCGTTGTAGTCTGGATTTTCTGTCGTAGAACTCTCGGTAGACTGTAGTGGTTTGTTCCCAAGACAATGGTCCGTATGTGTTATCGACACAGCGTCAAGAAAGGGGCCCTGGGTTGCTCGTACGTTGCCCGGGGTTGAGTTGAAGACGGAGTAGTCCTCGGCAAATCGGGGCGTCCAGGAGGCACCGTCGTTGAACTGGCCTACTTGCTGCTTAGGGGTGCTGAGGACGAGACTAGGGAATGTGGCAGAGGTCGGGGTCTGTCTAGGGGTAGATGAGTGGGTGTTTGGATCCCCAAAGCTGTTGGAATAATGTCTGTCAGCTGAGACATTACATTACATATATGAGAGGTGATCTAGTAACGAGCTACCTGGAAGACAGTTGATCCCCACTCATAGTAGCTCTAACAGGTTCTCACTGGCAAGGGCTACCATACCAGTTACAATTATAATCGACCGAATGTTTCGCAGGCAACGGGATAACGTTGGAAGTTCGGATCAAATTAGGTTTGTTTGTTGTCTTGCCAAGGGTTGGTTGAATTAGATGGACGTTGGTAGGCCAAGGGTCGTGAAAGCGAAACAAAAGTGATCGATATCGGATATGCAGGAAGAAGAAAAGTATGCAATGCAAGTCTAGGGTCGTAAAAGCTTCGGCTTATTATCCAAGGGTCATCAAAGGTCGTAAACAAAAGGCAAACAAGGTGTCTATTGTGAATGGTGGTTAGTGCATGTCCCCTCTGCAGCCCTACCAACCGAGATAGTGAAGGGAGAAGGAGTACGTACTTAGGAGAAAGTAAGGAATCCGGTACACTTCAAACTGGCCGGCCGGTGCACAGAGTAGCGGAAAGCAAAGCGCCGCACGACTCCTTTCAGGGGGAACAAGACTGGATTAGCGCACAGCTCCCAGCTCAGGCTGTCCTGTCGAATTGTCGCAATCAACGAGGCTGTCGTCTCGACCTCGGGAAGCTTGGTGAGAGGGGGAAGAGCTGCACAGGTCGCAAAATTGAGAGCTGGCGTGACCGACCAATGTTCCCTCGATTGGTGGTCGAGTGCTAGGCAGATACCTGTAAGACTTGGTGCTAGGCCTAAAGGGGCGCCAAGTTCGATGGTGGGCGGGCTGCTATCTCCCTTTCCAGTACAACCGTTCCGTCTTAGACTGCCGCAATCTCGATCGCCGCATAAAGTTAAAAAGCCCAGAGACGGCGTAGAGACGAGACAAGATAGTAACAGTGCGTTTATTCAGAGTCTCCGGGCTCTAGAGCATCGTGGCTGTGGAAAGGGGCGCTCTCTCTCAGGCAGACAGCCGTACCTACCCTACCCAGCTGACATGGAAGGAGCAGCCCTGGCTGTTGGCTGCGATGGAGCTTGTGAATGGCTGGTGGATGGGCGGGAGAGGAGGAGACGGCTGCTCCAGGAACCCAAGGATTGGCTGCGATTGGCGCTTTCGTCACACTCAGCTGCAAGTCGCTGCTGCTTACAGAAGCTCTAGCGGGGGCTAACTGGGCAAGAGCACGCAGGAACCATTCACATGGGGAAACTACGCACCTCGTTCTGCATTGGCGGCTGCACCTAGATGGAAGAGGAACGCTATCTTCTGTTGTCAACAAAACCCTCTCTGCATCATTTACATCATTGTTTACATCGATAGGGATATCTTCCATGTTGTTCATACGCCACCATCAACAGAGCAACTGGTGGCGCAGGCGCTAAGAACACCTTTGGTGTAGCACGCAGAGACACAGGTCGGCTACGAGAGCTTGGAGTCAGATCCTCTCATCCCCGAGTACCAAGCTTGGTCTTCCCTACGAGCATTTTTCCTAAGAACAGCTGCGCAAAGGCGAATGCGCATTCTACGGGAGCAACAATTCTGTCTGCTTGTCTCACAGTCGCTCACGCTCACTTCAATCCACTCCAAAAAGTAGAGATGGCAGAACTGGATCATCCGAGCCGAGCTATATCGTCGTTATGAGAAAGGCAAAGCCCTTTGACACCTGGCTTGTGTGATGCGACGAGCCGCCGTGTGTCTCATACCGGGACAAAGGTCCGTCAAAAAGCTCAGTTAGCTCCGTCAAGAACAGAGCTATCAGAGCTAGCTCTCATTTCACCACCACAAACTCAATGGCGAAGCTCTCGTCCGGCCGTTACCAAACGTCAAAAAGCTAGAGATAACACCACTTTCGGATAAATCAAACGACCAAACCACTCCGAGTGTCCGGTTACCAATGGCTGCTTGGTCATCGCACCAGGAACTCCACCGAAATACTCAACCAAGTCAACGGAAGCAAAGCAAGACGGACGAAATTGAGTGCTGGCAGCCACAAATCCAGGTCAACTTGCTACGGGAATTCCCATGGCGAAATGGAACCCAATCAGTCTTGTTGCCCCTGAGCTAACAAACCTACGAAGTAAGTCCGGTCGCATCGTGAATACTCTATCATCAAATCATTCTAGCCTTCCGACTCAAGTGGCTTAGCTGGGTAGGTAGCAGTCGTGACTGCATATGGCGGTGCATGTGGCTATTCTCCAACTTTGCCCGGGAGCCAATCGTTCCGGCCTTGGCCAAACATACTCAAACACGGCTGCAACCACCACACAAAGTCGTCTATACAGACGAGTTTTATCCGCCCTCTTATCTATTCTGCCTAAGTCCTAGGCAAATACCACATTTCTGATACGATAGCCGATGGTGAGCCGAGGACAGGATGTCGGAGGCTGCGATGGTGTTGGGGGAACGTCGATCCCCAATGACAGTCTCCCCCCGGCCGTCTGGCATTCTCATCCATCTAGCGTCTTGTTATACTTCATCTCAAATGGCAGATGGTTCCTGACTATCAAGGGAATTAGGTTCTCTTCGGACGAACTATTCGAACCAGGCAGCCCGGCTCGAAACCTTGATGAGTCACACATCAAGATGGGCCTTGATCCTGAGACTTGAGACGTCCTTGTCTCACTAAAATGCACATGTTCGCGACAAAGCCATGATCCTCACCATGGCATTGTCAAGCTGCCCCACTGAAGTGTCAGTAGATCTCATTCCATTTGCTAGAGAGCGACCAATTTGGCTCGATCAATTGATGAATGCGGCCTGGTAGATTTCTGAGACAGTCTTAGCCCCTGGCAAGTTCGTCCCTTCTTATTGCTGCTGATATTAGGAGTCAGTGGTCCGACACTGGGTCCTAATTAGGACATTCATCACGCACCCATGAACGTCAAGCCAGCAAATACCAGAAGGTGGTTGCTGCAATCCTTGCAATCGGCTCCCCCTTCTCGAACAGAAATCTCCCGTTTGCGACATGATGATTGTTCTTTTATGGCGGTCGCCATGGACGAGAGCCCACCCCCTCCCCAGATTTACGTTGCATACGCTTCCTCTTCCAGACATCCGGCCTGATTTGGACAGCATCAAGTCCCTACCTGCAATCACCGGGGGTTCCATCCCCGGCTCGTCGTCGCATCATAGCAGCCCCAATATAGCTTGTATGTACATCTAGACTTGATGGATTTGGCCGTGGATGCCAGGGCCCAGTCTCCGAGCCAGTAATAGCTTCACGGTAAATCATATTGCTACGTAGGTATGCATTCTGGACGTCGATCAGACAGCCGGTGAAGTGCATCGCCTCCAGAGGGGGCATCTTACCCCGGGCCGGTGGTGCGACGCAGCGGAAGAGGCGGACAAGATGGGGATTCCCTCATCCGGGACATGTCGGACGCGCAGCAAAAGTTTCTCTGTGCCCTCCATCGTGCCTATCGACGTGTCTGTGACGATATAGAGCATAGCACACTGACACCCCTCCCGAAGCAGCCTAGTCGGTAGGCTTGGCCAAGCTGACTTGGGCTCGTCCTTTTGTTATCATGGAAGAGGTTGACGCTCATCGGCGCCTTGGGGGGTCCAGCCTGGGCCTGGGGTCGGCGACGGCCACATCCACATCGCCGGTGGCTCTTTGCGAATTCACGGGACCAGGACGGTGCGGCTGGGCCTCAACGCCAACGAAGTGCAGACCCGTTTGGTGCGATCCGGACAGGCAACATGCTGGATCAAAAGCGCTGCGGGCTACCTAAGCCGCGATTCCAGCAAGTCTCGATGGTACACGTGTAATCGCGGTGAGTGGCTGACCCTCAGCCACTAACGACGCAAGCGAAAAGCTCAAGACCTGCTCCTTGTTCCGGGTGCCAACTCCACAAGACACCCTACCCTCTTTGCTGGTGCTCCATGTCGAGGCCAGGTCAGGGACATGGGCAGTCGAGCAACTGCCTGCAGGCCCTGCTGGCTCTGGGCCAAACGGCATTTCTCCTGTTCCGATCCATCTCCCTTCGACCGTGTGTGGGGGTAAGACGATGTACATGCAAGACGAAATCCCAGATGCACGCCCATTGTTCGCAAGCAGACCCGGTCACGGTGCCTGGCGTCCCGTCACAATGTATATGCCATGTTGGTACAAGCCCGGTCTGCATGCTGCCAGCCAAAAGGGTCAAGCTTTTCCAACGTCTTCTCAAATGGGGCCGATTTTGGCAGTCGATGGAGGGTGTGCCTCCTCCGCACCTTTCCTGAGCAAGGTAAGGTAAAGTTTGCTGGCCCCCATGTTTCAAGATTTCTGGATTCACATCACATCCGCCCCTCCTCATCGGCCAACAAAATACGAACGATCTCGCCCCTTGCATGTTTAATTCTCGAACTAGGGGAACCCTGTTTGTCGACACATCTCCCCCTGGACCCGTGGGCCGTCCGCCTTGCACATGCGATAAACTAACCAACGATTGCGACAGCGGCAGCAGGCTGTCTAGCTGTGTCGGCTAGTATCACAAGAAGCAAGTATGACGGCACTAATGTGATACGACCATCCTGGGACCTGGTCCTTCAACTCTTGGACGCTCTCTCTTTCCTCTCGAAGAGGTTTACTAACACCACCCTGTCAAGAACCTCGTAGGGCTCTCTTCCCCGAGGAGCCCACACCCAGGATTTTCCTGCCCAAAGCAACATGTCATCGATCGAATTAGTCCGAAAGCCCCGAACCCCTCCTTGAGCCCCAAGAATGTGCATATTCGTTATACTTGCCCTTTTGGGGACGAGAAGGATTCGAGAGACGTACAGGTGTGAGCCGCGCACCGAGGAGACACTAAGGGAAAGGACTGGCTGCCAACTGCCTATCAGTCGAGGCGGCCATCGTGGGATCGCCCAGCCCAATCACGGCGCCCGTCACATTTTCTCTGGGTCGGTGTGCAAACCGAACCCGCACGCGCAGCTCGCGTGCATTCAAACCATCCCAAAGATGCAGCAAGGGTCATTTACCTGCTCTCCTCCAGAGTCAGGAGTCCGAGTATACCCGAGCTGCATGACTTCGTGCATCTTCGTGGATTCTACGTTGCCCTTTCAGTGCAAGAAAAATTTCGCTGTCGTTCAGGTGAGGGAGTACCTGTGCGTGCTAAAGCACAGGGCGGCAGGGACACTAACCACAGCGCCTTGTGGGCTTCTGACGGGCACATCAGCGGGCGGCTACCGACGTCTGGCCCCAGTCCCTGTTGCTGCTGCGACTGGTTAGGGGAGGTCGGAAGCTGTGCTGGGATCATGATTGGAGTTGCCTGCCAACACCCTCACGCCAGGAACATCTATGATGGTACCCCAATGGGTACAAGCCGACATTACGGGACGTCCAGCCTAGTAGAAATCGAGAAACAGGATGCCCTTTCGAGCGCGCAGAAGAAATCAGACGTGTAGCTCGAGGAACCTTGGGTGCAGGGGAAGGGGAAATCATGAGGAGGAACCTGTAAGTTGCTTGACCGAAGTCATCATTCAGTGCAATTTTTTTGTTATCTAGATACTACTATACTAAGATTTTGGCTGGCCAGCAGACCCGTAGATTGGTTTTTCCTTAATAGCCATTTCGTAACATCCAAACATGATAATAGTCGAGTAAAAAAGAAAAACAAGAAAACAAAATACCAAAAAAAAAACAACTAACGATGTAGAATCCTTTCCAAGTCTACCTAATATCTACCTACTAGTGCCCATTTTTCTCTCTAATGAAAACTCCGCGGCAAAAAAAAGACTCGATCCAAGTGAAAGGACCCCTTTGTTCTCACAACCAAGTAGAGGGTGCGATGAGGGAAACCCCAGGCTTCCGGTATCATCACACCTGTAAATAGTAGTTGTGAGAAGGATGGGTCAGTGAGTGAGAGAGTGAGAGAGAGGTATTGTTGAAAACGTCGAGGCCAATGCAAAAGCCATCTCATGCCATTTCCGTATAAATCGTTCCTTCATGCGCCCATCGCCAGGATGTACTGGGTTTTGGTACCGAGCCCCAGGCTCAGTCTGGTACCCATATTATCGATGGTCAACACTCGATGGATTAAATCATATTGGGGTAGGGGTCGTTCGCGAGCAGAGCCTGCGGCATCTGGGTCGGTATGAGTGCGTGGTGGTGATGGTGGTGGTGAGGATGGCAGGAAACGTGGGGCATGGTGGTGGCCGGCATCTGCGTGGCTGTAATGGGCGACGAGGTCGGGTGTGGTGTCACAGCCTGGTCGCCCCTGCTCATCTTATGGATAGCCGGAGCAGGGAGCCCTCGGTTATTGCTGCTACCACGTCGTCTCTTGGCCGAGTCCTTGGCTTTGGCGTGGGAGTGACACTGCGAGTCCCGGAGTTAGCGATACGTAATTCAACCTTTTTTTTGTTTTCATTTTATTTGCTTTTTGAGGGATGTGCGATGCCTGTACATACCTTGTAAGCGTGTCTGAACCAAGTGGTTCCCTTCTTCTTGCTGCTCACGAGAGCAATCCACTCGTTACAGCTGCCGCACAGACCTTCCCAGACGTCCGGGTTTCCATCCATGCGTCGCGTCTCCAGAGGCTGCTGGAAGGAGCTGCCAGTCGCGGCGCTGATGCCGTGGGAGAAGGACTTGTCGTACCAGTAGGCCGAGTTCTTGAGGACCAGCCATCGCCCGGGCTTGCAGATGCCGCACCAGCCCTCGCGCTTGTTGCCGTGTCCGCGGACCCACCGAGGGGTATACAGGTCGCCCTCAAATCTCAGGTCCTGCTCTCGGGGCATCATGTCGGGGTCGGAGGGGTTCATGTCTTCCTCAGGAGGGGCTTCCTGCTCCTCGTTGAGAGCACCGAACAAGTCCGGGGGCTCAGAGAGCTCAGCGAAGCGGCGGTGGAGAGAATGAGCATCAGCGTTACTCTGGAGCATTCTGAAGAGACCGTGTGACATTAGAGGAGCAGGGGCGTCGTAGGGTCGGGCGTCACTCTGAAGAGTCTGCGAGGGTAGTTGAGTAGGTAGGAGCATGCTGTTCCTCTGGCTCTGGACTGTAGGTCCGCAACTCATGAGGAATGGGGGCTGTGCGTGTGCTATTTCAAGACCATGTGTCAGTGAGACGTAGTTCCCGAAGGGCAGAGAGAGAGAAGAAATGTCGCGAGAGGACATACGCTGCTGGTGCGCACCATGGGCTTCTTGTCCGGGGTGGTACACAAAGGGCGACGGGCGACGGTTTGACATGGTGCCATAGGATCCTGTAGACCATCGCTTCGCGCTTCTTGGGGTCTCAATGCTGTAGGGCGCGGATCGGATGCTGGGTCGCGGCGAAGGGGATGCTCGTCCACGGCTTTGAGTACGGGCAATATCAGGACGGCAGCCCTGTGCTGTCATGCGTGGAGAAGCCACGGGAGAGAGGTGGGTGGAAGACATCCAAGAAGTGCGGTTGGATGGCGGGGGGTACTCTGAGCAGAAAGAAGGCGCGTCGGAGAGAGCTGTCGAGAAGTCGTCGTAAGACTGCATATCTGACAAGGCACCAGAGGTAGACATGGTGAAAGATGAGCCGGATATTCTGCGAGAGTGGGCGACGTCGTCAAAGTTCATCTGGTATGAATTTTGGTACCCCTCCTGGTGCTCCAGGTCGAGAATAGGAATGGCTTCTTCGGTATGAAAGTCCTGGCACATTCGCATATCTTGTCCAGCTCCAGCTCCGTGGAAGTGTTGGAACTGTCCGTCATATGATTTTTGAGCCCAGAAGTCTAGCGATGGCATGTTAGTGGGGGTGTTTTCATGCGCAAGAGATGATTCTGGTGCGCTACTTACTCTCCTCGCCCGTCGTCGGAGGCTGAATTTCCTTGTGTGCAGACATTGGTCGTGAAGGTGTCTCGCTGGGAGTTTGGTGTACTGATGATGAATCCAGAGAAGGCTGTGAGATTTGGTCCATGGGCATGCAGAAGTTGAAGCCCCCAGCCATGGTAGTGGGTGTAAGTCCTTGTTGAGATGCTGGCGTCGACCATGCCTCCTGAGGCGTTGGTACTTCAACCTTACATGAGACGTCGTCTTCTGACATTGTGATACA